CTCTGAACTCCAATCACTCCCTTCCCAGGAAGCTTACCGAACTAATAGGTGATGTTTCCCGGCTGTGCCACGTGGCAGGATCCAACCAGTAATAGTCTAAGTCACCTGCATGGAAGGAAAAAAAGGAAATTTGTAATGGTGTTAAAGTGAAGAACATATCACTTCAAGCATTACTTCTCCAATCTATAAATGGTAACAGATATAATATTGAGTGTGTGAGCATCTCAGAAGCATGCACACCTGTATTATAAAGGTTGTAACTTGAATCATTGAAATGAATAAGTGCTAAAAATAAACTTCATACAATAGATGGAGAAATCAGTCTAGAAACACACATAAAAGTATGGGGAAAAAATAGGGTTAATCTGCCCCTCTCACCCTCAAAGGAGTATCCAGAGCAAGCCGCAACCTCCAATCTAGTGACGCTGGCTACCATTTTATTCATTGAACTAAGATGAAGACTGAAATTCACTGTCTGCCTTTTGACCCTTCTGAACAACAGCACATCTTTCAAAATTATTCTCCAGTCTTTATCTTCTCTCATCAACCCTAAAATATGACATATATTTCTAGAACATAGTGATGAGTAAATTAAATATCAAGAATAACTTTTAGCAAAGTAAATACATACAAATGACACTAGTCAATTTTAGTAAGGCCATAAAAAGATTTGAGTCCTAACTCTATACATATGAATTTATAAGCCTATATTTTTGATTTCTGGCTTAAAATTATAATGCTAAAGAAAGTATCTGACAACAAAAGAAAAATATTAATGAAAAATATCAAAGCTTTTGGTGTTTGCACAGGATGAAAGGCCAGAGAAAAAGTGGGTAACCTATGTGAAAAGAGCATATTAGAGAAGGCAGGGGAATAAATTACCTTTTGTATTTTAAATATCAGATTAACTCAAAAAACTTTTCTATGTATCTTGAAAGAGAAAAAAATACAGTAAGTAAAGCACATTAGCTTACACTGAGATCTCTTTTGTGTAAATATGCCTGTCTCATAGACGTGAAGGTCAGAAGCAAAGAATTTTAGGTCATTGACAGGCATGAAAGATTCAGGCACTATAAAAGAAATGCTAACATAATTTTATTTATGTTTCGCACATTGATTGCCACATTGGAAACAAATCTTTTTTTCTTGGGGCCGTGGAGTTTTATTAGATCAAGAGATGTGTGAGTTATATATGTTTCATGAGGCCCCTGGCTCAAAACCAGCATAAGTTCACTACAACGCACAGAGCAGTTCATGTGTTAAAATCTACAGGCATAAAAATCTAGACACTTCAGTTTCTTAGGAGCTGCTTCTTTTTTTTTTTTTAATGTTTCTGACAAAGACAAACAGGCAAACGGTCTATCACAGGTACTGAAATTAATACTGAAATGTTCTTCAAATACGTCACATAGATTATACTAGTTTATTCTATGCAGGTTTAGAAATTGCATTAGCAAAACTCTATTCCTTTGAAATTTACTTCATATTGAGACTGGACCTTTCTAAAAATCATAATATTTAAAATGTATAAATGGGTTGGAAAGCACAGATTTATAAACTTCTACTGGACCATCTCAGTTCAGGAATATAAGAAGCTGCAAAGGAAAATTCTTTTCTCGTTTGTATTTACTATGTATTTGTAAAAGTTCACGTGCTTATTTTTAAAGTAGCTCTGTCTTTAGGATTATGATACTTACCCCTCCTAAAACACTATTTAAAATGTTGATAATACTAAAATTCATAATAAAAATATTACTCTAAAAGCAATTATACTTTATACAACTTTATCTCTAAAATTTCATAGGCTTGATATTAAGGCCTGATGATTAATTTTTAAAACTATGAAAAATAAACAGACTCTCACTGAGATATCTGTGAGGGAGGGGACTGTATTTCTCTGAAGAAGAAAAATTAATCATTTAAGTGAAAGCAGCTTTAAAAGTCTCTGACGTTAAAAATAATAACAAAAAATATTATTTTAAGGAATCAAGAAAGTAGAAGTTCATTGTATCCCTCAATAACAAGACTTAGGCCCCCTTTGGGATCCTTCTCTGGGGTGTGCCCTGATTATCCATGTGGTGCCTCAACTCTACGTTTCACCTCGTTTGTCCTAAATGCATCTAGATACACACATCTGGCAAGTATCCCCTCTGCAAAAAGTGTTCCTTAGAGGAAAGAACCAAAAGCTGATGTTTCTGGTGAAATTTAACGATGATGATCAACGTCATTTATTACAAAAACACTGTTTCAAACAGTAATGTTTTATCACTTATATAGGCTTTGTGGAATGGTAACCTAGAATGGAGAGTCTAACTTAACTGATCTGGTATTGGATGGACAGCTAGTTCACCAGGAGATCCCAAGGTGCAGTGAGCAATCTTACAGTATCCCGTAACAAATATAGCTGCTACAGATTGCGGAGGAATGGACACCATGCTTGCAAAGGACAGGTACTGATTCTTATCACATTAAAAGGAAACGCTGAGCACAGGACAGCCTCCTGGCAAACCTAGAGACATTTTGTGACCTGTGGGGCAATCCCCCAAGTAACTCAGTGTTCCAGAATGAGATAAGGTCGGTCACTCACTAGTAAGCATGTGTTAAACATTGATGCTTAGTACTTCTTCATGGGGGTTGTGGGGAACGAACACGTGATGAAGGTGCATGTGGCAATCCTTACGCATGCAGCCCTCCTGTGTAATCATCTTAACTCTCCACACCTGTTGTGTATAACGTTAATAAACAGCCATTGCAGGCGGGGCTCTGGGCTACCCTGCACTCAGGGTTAGCCTGCCTCCTGCAGCTTGTACTTCTAATCTGTGTCACGCCTGGTTCCTTCCTGCGGTGACAGAGACCAGGGCCTTAGGGGTCGCGACAACAGATTTTGCAACTTAAAAAGTTTGGGGTTTTTTGATCAATTTTGGTCATATTTACTATTGTAGATATCAACTAAATAGTGCTAACAGAAACAGTCAATACTTTAGCATCCAATATTTGTATATATTTTACTGTATAACTATACCTCCTTCATATTGTGAACAGTCTCTAATATTTTTCACATCATTAATTTCATTATCACCCAATAAAATATGTATAACATTTTTACTTAAAGACTTATAAGAAATAAATTCTAAAATCTAAATATGTAGTTTTAAATTACATTTGCTTCTTCTATCCATGTAATTACTAAGTTTGAAAGACACTGTTGTACTTCTGAGTAGCCCAATTTGTCTCCACGGTTCTTATTTCTGTGTTGCTTGTGGAATAAGCAACACTCAAAACAACTCGCTCCAAAGATATTCAGACTCTAGTATTTCATTAATACCAAACCTTTTCTGTGATTATTTTTCTAAAAGATGATTAATGATATTGACTTCCAGGTGGCTCTGCTGCAAAATGATAAATCCATGCTATTTTCTTGTGGAAGCAATATAAAAGTATCTTGGTTCTAACAGTCGATATAACTTTCAAGGAACTAATTTACTATTATTGTTTATTTAGAATCAGGAAACATCACCTACTTGAGTCTGCAGAAATGTCTCAAGTTCATAATGAGGCAAGTTCAGTAAGTGCTCTAACTCTGAGTATTATTATTATTAATTTTTGCAGTTTTTGGCTGGGGCTGGGTTTGAACCTGCCACCTCTGGCATATGGGGCCGGCACTCTACTTCTTTGAGCCACAGGCGCTGCCCGAGTATTATTTTTTTGTAAGGAATTTTAAAATACTTTTATCCTATCCAATGTGAAAAAGTGGGTTTGTTAAACTTCGTAAACATGCAACTTTTAACGTACAAACAACACATGAATCTTCTGTAAAGAGAGTTAGCTTCTCCTAATCCCAGATTAAAGCATGTAACAACACATAAACATACATCTCTGAAATTCAAAATTTTGTATCTTCTTATGTCAAAGCACAATAGATTACGGAAAAAACAATCAATGTCAGTTGGAGCCTAAGGAACACAAATTCCTTCTAAGTAATAATAAAACATTCTGTACAGATTCATGATTGAGAATGTATGAGTGTATTAAAACTGTAAGAAAACCATACCTCTAATTTCATAATCTAACAATTTATGTGATAGCTACACTCGACCAACTGGGAATGCATCTATTACATAGGTAGTAAAAGGAAGTTTGTCTACAAAGCCTTGAATTATTAGATAATCTGAATTTCTTCCATATCCAGAAGAAATAAGGAGCATATTTTTAACATCATTATAATGAATGGTGATAAAAGATGTAACTCAAATCAATTCTAAGACTGAGTCACAGTGACTCTATATAACATTTCCAAATACATCTCTGTAGTTTTACTACTTATTATTTCAAAAAATAAATGTTCTTCCTATATAAAATAGAATGTTGTCATTCAAAAAAAAGCAAATTTCACCAACCTCAAATCAGAAGATTTATCTTTCCCAGATATTTCCTAAACCTCTTAAAACATTTTCCACTTTTATTTTTAACACTCCACAGAGCAGGATATCAATTGGAACTAAAAAAAAATTAGCCAAGTCCCAAGATACGTCATTACAGCATGGCATGTATGCAAATTAAAACACTGGATAAAGTATGTTTACTGAATTTTTTGTAATTAAGAGTATACACAAAACTTCACTTACTTTTAAGAATTAGTTTTTCAGTTGAGACAAAGTAAGTTATTTTTAAAAAGTAGGTCAGCACACATGAGTTAAAAATTGTTCTGGTTATAGTGTAATAAAAATATATACATTTTAATTCAATTTAATATTTTTCCAGGACATTTATTTGGGAAACAGTCTGTTCATACAAAGGAATTTATGTCTGAAGTCTAAAAACTAAGATAAAATCCTAACTCTGAATTAATATAATGAAAATACCTCTTTGAATATAGTTACCTCATGTTCTAGTAGTCTAAGATAGCTTGATGCCTGCAAAGGGAAGTGTGCTTCCTTCCTCCCCTAAATTATATAGAATAGTGGAGCTAACTTTAGACTAAATCAGCAATAATTAGCTATACCCCAAAGTCCTAGAAAGCCTAATTTTCACCCAAGCTAATTATTGACATGTTATTAAGAAATGTCTGATTTCCTTAAGTACAAAATTTGACAGCTGATACCGCT